ACTGCCGAGCAACGGCGTTTGGATCCTTCTCGATGCTTCCAAAGAATATACAACATACTTTTGACAGAAACTGCCTAGCAACGACGATTGGACAACTTCTCGATGCCTCCAGAGAGCATATAACAAACAAATGCAGTCGTATAGCAAAAAAAGATTTTCATCAGATATTCATTCGTGTGATCGCCTTGGAAAGTGATACATCGAGCAATTTACCGAGTGTCTCAGCAATCGTATTTTTGTGTTTAAAATTATTCTACGCATAGTAAAGAGTTATCCCGTTGACCGTGGAGTCGTTAGAACCCCAGAACATTGTTAAAATTGCATCTTGCGGGTCTAAACACCACGGTTGTTCGTTAAACTTTGTAAAAGTCATTTTTATACCTGTAAATATAATCTCTGTTGTACAAAACGATGGCTAATTCAAACGAAGAACTGTCACGCGCCCTAAATTCTAACGATAACCCGACAGATATAAATGCTATGATGTGTAATCTTATTATTCATTAAACTCAACTTTGTTAATCTTATTATTCATTAAACTCAACATTCATAATATTTTGTAAAATCTTGTATATACGCGTAAATATAATCTCTGTTTTGTAAAACGATGGCTAATTCAAACGAAGAATCGTTACGCGCCTTAAATTCTAATGTTAATCCGACATATATATATTTCATAATTATACAATTCAAACTGCGCTACACTGTCGTTAATTCAAGACGCCTGATTACTCTTACGCTAAGATTACACGGGCGTTTTACACGCCGTATGTTGCACATCGCATTTTCTCCATCGAAGTGGGATCTTGGCTTTATGAGTGTTTTACGTACATTTGACACGTTGCACGATACACACTGATACTAAATATTGTGTCGCAATGCCAGCTTGTTTCGTTTTCCGCATGCGACACGCAACAGACAGCGTTTGGCGAGCATGTCAGAACGTGTTCCACGTCTGAATAGTCAGTTGCATTTAAACACACAATTCGATCTATGTTGTCCGTTCGTCGTTACGCAGAAGACAACACTTTGTTGCTACCTAATTAGACAACCACCCTTCGTCGTTCTTTGTCCATTATGTTATGATTTTATATTCCACTGGGCGATAGATCCCTCCAGTGAACCAGAAAATGTCCTAAATCTGGAGATTCGAAAAGTTTGGAATAGTTTCTTAAATTCTGTTTTATGCTCTGAATCGACGAAGGCGACAACTCTCCATGATGTAGCTAAACCTTGCTTTAGGGAACAAAAAAATTATTGCTTTGACGCCATATTGACTTCTAACCATGATTCGTCCAATGAACAGAGTCGCTGGCTATAGATAGAAGCACGTAGTTGGCGACCATTTTGGAGTTGTGAATCAAATGCTCCTAACCGCATATGTTTTGTATATGTTTAATTTTTCGTCTCAACAATGCTTCAAGTTACCTGCAGGTAATAGTTATCCCGGTGCATTCGAAGAGTTTAGTTGTGTTTTTAGAGCCAGGTTCTTTCTTCAAATTCTTTCTTGTTTCGTTTCGTTTCTTCTATCTTGTCTTTCTTTTTTCGCGTTTTTTATTTTGTTTTGCTCTGTTTTTTGTTTCTTCGTGTTTTAACTTTTATTTTATTACGTTTCCTTTAAAAATAATGGCCATAACAAAATAGAATTTATATAGCTTAACCGCCTCAAAAGAAGCAGCTGTCATTTATTTGGTTGCGAGAGAATAGTCCTTTACGTAGCAGTAAACAGTGGCGCAAACTTCGAAAGCTGATGATTATTGCTGACATAAATTTATGACTCAGAACCGCAGGGACCGAATAATTTCGATGTCCCATTAACGGCGTCAAATATAGACAATATGTAAATACGATTAACCCATTTCTTCATCAAATCTGTTTGCCTTTGGATAAGGCGATCAAGTAAGCGTTGAGTTGGACTTATATATTTTTTGCTTTGGGTAGTTCTTATATACTTCAATTAATACATATAGAAGGAAGCTAAATAGATGGCAGAGAAAGAACTGGATGCGAAGAGAAGGCCGCATTGACAACGATGACTTTGCTATGCCGTCTATGCGAACTTCTGTGGTGGCGATATTACAAAGTGCATCAAATCGATGTCATACAAACATTAATGGAAGCAATTCGCAGGCAATGTGTTTTTCAATAAGGGAAGTGGAAATGGAACACGTTTCGATGCTCACCAGTATCGACCAATCAGAATATGGCTAGAAGCCCGTATGACTTTAAAGTAACCTGTCAAATACGCTAAAAATGCTTGACTTGATATACGTATAACTTTTGAACCAGAGTATTCCACATCTTAAGACTTGATTTTAGGTCAAAATACCTCGAAAACAACAAGATTACAAAAAAGATATCAATAATTTTTACGTCCTATTAGATATTAATAATTTAACAATTTATTTAAGTTTATCCAATTATCACCTTTTTGTGTGTCACTTAATAGTTTTTGGCGTACAGAATCCAAAACTTTAATAGTTTGTGAGGCCGGTTTATTAAAAAATAAACAAGCCTTAATTTTAGAAATTCAGCGGTTCAAAAATTATACGTGCAGAAATTTGACAGTACAATCGTGTATTTCACAGATTGCTTTAACTGCATATTGGCTTCTGTCCATGATTCGTCCAGTGAATAGAGTCACTGGTTGTAGACAGAAACACGTGGGTGGCGGCCACTTTGCGGCCGAATTTTGAATCGTGGATATTGGATTAGGTTTGAGTTAATCTTTATTCTCAGGACGCCGTAAAGCAACCGATTACGGTAGTCTGTACGGTCATCTGTGCGGATCAATCAGATGATGAATAGCCGTCGACATGGCGTCATACTAATCTGTAAAATGCGCTAAAAACGCTCAACTTTGTACACGCATAGCTTTTGAACCAGGGTATTCCTAAAGGTAAGACTTGTATTCTTAAATTCTACGCGTCAAAGACTATTAGGTCATGATGTGTATGCTTCAAAAACATACAAACGTCTTCTTGCATTGCCTTTTCCACCTCCCCTCCCCCCGACAACAGGGTGCCGACGACCTTCTCCAGGAACCGAGGGTCCATGCTCTCCGTTAAGGGAGGCGCCCATGGATGGAGTTTGTTCAATACCATCTTGTAAGGGCGCCCAAATCCTTCCCTAGGCTCACTTCAACTATGTATCTCCGCGCACATCATAAACGGAAGAAACTCTGATCGGGACACGATAGGAAACAATTGCATCTACTTAAAGTCGTTCCAATCACCTTATTATCTCTAATTCTAATGCAAACCCGACATATATATAACGTATATATTGTGTATAACTTACATATTGTAACGTCATCTACTTCCGTTGAACGGTAAGCGGGTAGTGGCTCATAAAAACGGCCTGAAAGTGGAGCAGTAGTATTTGTTGCTTCGCGTGAGATGGACAGTGCGACGTCCTTCATTGTCTGATCCTCAAGGCCCAAGCACCATTACATAGACCCTCAATAAACCTAAGGCCCCACCATAAATTGACTCTTATTAGTTAGCAGGAACCTTTAATCCTGCAAGTATTTTCGGTTCATGACTGGTACTTGATACAGTCCTTAGGTTTATTGCACGTTCTTACAAATTACGGAGAAAGCGGATATTTGTCTAACGAAAAAACAGGCTTTTCCCATTAACAATGTCGCCCATGAGCCACGTTGGTAGGAGGCTCTCCTATCTTCATCCCTAACGTTGGTCATAACCAATGGGCATCGCGGATCGTTACCCTCGCTTTCTTCATACAACAAAGACGCCCACTCCGAGCTTTCTCCAGTAATCACACAAGGACGAACTTCACTTGTTCTCATAACTACAGGGTAGTCACTTCATCTCTATACTTGTTCTCACGACTACAGTCAACTTGTGCTCTCAACTTCATCTCTATACTTGATCTCTAGACTTGTTCCACAGTAACAATCAAGTAACAGTTGAAGCTCATCAGTAACAGCTAAAACTAGCTCGAGTTAAAACACAGTTCAAGGAACAGCAAGAGTCAGAAATCAAGTCAAGAGAATCGACAACTCGAAGACAGCCAATCGACAGAAGATACATCATCACAGTCATCAACACGAAACGAGTCTCAGGTCGTACTCATTCGTAGTTTGTCATTCCACATACGTAGCCTTGTATCGCTTGAAGTTATTGGATCGTTGAAAATATATATTAACCTGTTAATATCAGCGTTATATTCATTCAACCACCCTTATTATCTGAACCGAAATAGGGGATCGAACGATTCGTGGCGTCGATTAGTCAAATCGTAACGGGAATTTACGACTCCCGTTTGCGCGCTTCTTCGAGATCGCGTCTCCCCGCGAATGGTCGAAAGTTCAGTATTCGCAACGCTGTTACACAGATTATGTTCGCTGCTCTCCATTTTGCGCTCATCGTAATTTGACGAAAAAAACAAAAACAGAGTCACTCATTGATTCTCGAAAATATTTTTATCATCACATATAATTGTTATTAGTCATTTCCAATTCGTTCGTACAGACCTTCTCTTGTTTTATTCTTTACTGATATTCGCAGCTGCCTGTCGCATCTTCGATTTTTAAGCATCACCACTGATAAATTTCGATCATCTACGTGAATATTGAGAAACGTAGAAGGTCATTGATAACCATGAAAGAAGCCGCACTAGATAATATACAGAAGATACTTCCGGTTTCAGAAAATTTTTTGCGTTTCTACATCAACAAGATTAAGGAGATTATCGGGATTGTCGAAATTGTCAAGATTGCTCAAATTAACGAGGTGAATGAGATGATGAACAAATTTAACGATTATAATTTGATAGGACAGAGAATGGGCAAACAAATTATACGAACTGTGCAGAATATGCGAAATCAATCAATATAATTCATCGATATGAGGACACATTGGTAAATTTACAAAAAAGAAAACGTTCAATTCTACGAGAATGGCAAATATTAAAAATATTGTGTATAACACCAGACATATGATTCCTACTTTTTTGTTTAATTTAAAATTGAAACATGCTATAACTGTATAAAGAACTACTATGCAAACAACTGTTGTAAGTACACTGTAGGATATAGCTCCTGATACGATCTCCACGTCTTTTCCTTTCATTAGACAACTTATTGTCCACGGTAAGCCCAAGCAAAGTAAAATGTCGAGAATATTTGCCCCCAACGTATTGCTCATCGCCATATTTCCGTCCCCTAGATGTATATGAAACATTCAATATTTCATATCGCCAATCAGTGATTTGATTCATTAAAGTGTAACAAATGTAACAACAGAATAAACAAGAAATTTTGATACAAAAGAAATAAAAAAAACAATTAATCTTACCTTGTCTGGCTAAAATCACGATGGACGCAAGCTCCGGCATATTTCCACCAGCGGCTAGAAATGTAAGACCCATAATGGAATCCGGGATATCTATTGTATCACCGACAACCGTCGTCATCCAAGAAACCAAATAAGAAGATATTCCGATCCAAATCACGCACATAATGAATGTCAATGGATACCAGCGTTTCAATCGTTCGATCCTGACATCTGGTATCGTTACATATAGCAAAAATTTCAATGGCCAACCAAACATAAACCAACATTTTGCAATCATAGTTCGTTCCCTTGGCCAAGTAAATAAATATTCTGCAAATAAATATACAGAAACGATACATACATACAATATGCCTATGCTTCTCATCCGCTTCGCATATACATATACACAGATACTTATGTACATGCATACCAGAAACAGAACGTTCCAGCGATTTGTCCAAATTTTCTAGAACATTTTCGAGATCACGCTGTTGGCTTTCCAATTTTTTAATATCTACGTTCTTGCTAGGATTGACTGCAACAACATCATCTGGAGAGCGCAGTTTGTAGGAGCCATTACGAGGCAACTTCTCTCCAACGTTAGACACTATAATTAATCGCAACGAATTGTTACTTCATATCTCTCTTATTCGACTCGCAATATTTTCTCAAAACGGATAAACAAACAAAGGAAATTAGTTGAGAAAGAGAATGTTACTTACACTTTGCCGCGGATTTAGAATTAAAAGGAGCGATTTTACCGCAACACCGCCAAATACCTTTGCCACAAAAGAGCAAGATTAGGTAAATGCACAACAACATTATCAAAATCATGGCTTCGTACCAATGAATCCGACGATCCCACATTATTGCTACCAATGCTCCAATAGATACCACATACATTGCACAGTCTCGTGACAATATTCGCCATTCTAACGGTATCGCCTGAGTCGAAAAGAATAAAAGACGAATTAGAAATTGCGTTTTTTGAAACAACCGTTTCCTTTCAATTCTTCAAACTTCAAGGATAGAGATACACGTGAATAGGAAACAAAAAAGATAATCAAGAAAAAACTAATCGTGTAACGTTAACAAGGTCAATGGAAGATAAGTAAAAGAGATAGGTATTCGATACGATCGATCTAAATATACATACTTAAAGAGAATGCTTATCATCTTTTATCTAAAAGTCTGTATCGTTATAAGAAGATTGAATGGGTAAGATAATTTATTTGCCAATGCATTCGCCAAAAATTATTTTCGTATATGTATACGCATATTATATCTATGCATATATATAAGATATAGATATGAGTACAATCGCGCGTAAATTGTGCGATAGATGTTAACATCATATTGGCATCCATATAGCGGATCACTTTACTTTTAGTTATCGTTCATTCTCGTAATCATCTAACAACAATTTTCAACTATATGTGTATTTTTAAATATGTGCGTGTACTTACGCAAAGAGTCGTTAACGCTCCGCAGGCCGGAGTTGCAAACGTGTCGAATACGGCGCTACCGACAACAGTACCAACACCAAGATCCGACTCGGTTAGGAACGTTCCAATTATATTCACGAATAATTCGGGGAAGGAACTGCTCATAGCAAGAAACGTTGCTCCAGCAACATCGGTGCTTATGTTCATACTGACGCATATGCAGTCGATAGCCGGTAATAGATAATCATGGCAAACAAATGCTGTCAATAGAAAACAATATAATCCGAGAAAGGTATGCAACACTACGGCCCCGTGACGACGTTCTTTGTATGTGAACAAATCCTCGGGAAAATCAAATATAGAACGATCCGTGCAATTAATTTCTTTCTCTTCTTCCTTTTCTTCCATCCTAAGAGATACGAATGATTCTTGTCCATCGCTTCTCGTTGCTTGCTTCGCAACCACCTTATTTTTAATGGTTAGCATCGGTTGATTTATGTCACGTGCTTCGGCGATTCCATTCGGCAAGTAAGTCGAGAACGTTTCTAAAAGTGAAAAATTTCTTTCTCTTCCTCCAGGTAGAGGATATATTTTAAATGGAAATAACAAACAATATAGTCGTGTAAAATTCTCTGAAAACCTTAATCTAGAATTGATACGCGCATGCCTCTTTGAATATTTGAGCGCGCCAACTTGTGCGTACATCGAGACAATTGATATTTTCAGAAAATTCCTCTCTTCTATCGTTCCCCCTTTGAATTACGCGCTATCCAGTTCCACTGATGATTTGATGTTCGTAAAGAAGGCAAACAGACGAATGTTGCAAAGAAAAAAGGCTATTTAAACGTATACTATTATACGCGTATATCGATCAAATTGACAACTATATGTATGCATCAAATTAACTACTCTAATTGTAAATTTACCACTTACCGTTTCCAAGTAGCGCGTAAGAGGCTGGCGACCATATCGATAGCACAGTGATACACGCGTAACTTTTTAACAACCATATATTCATCTCGTCTTTCATGTACTCTTCCAATGTTCTCTTACGATCTATGTATATTGTTTCTCAATACTACTTTTTGAAAAGTAGTCTGCGCATTTATGTTACATTACGTTCAACTGATTACACTCCCTTCCTAAAGCTCATTCAAACGCCGTTATTATCTATTTAGCCATCGTCGACGTTGTCGTCAGTATCGATAACAGTAACGAAATCCGATTTTAAAACCACTTTATACGCTCAGCTATGCGCGAAGTAGTTAGCTTCTTTAATTAAACTAAACATTTTTTAACTAAGACATACTTACCTCGCCACATCGACTTACATATACATATGTAAAGATATGCATGTTGCTCTCTATATAAATTGGCAAAAATATTTCAGTCAGAAATGACAGTAAAATGATTAATTATACATACGACTAGGAAGAATAAATATACTAAATCGTATATCAAATGATTGTATTTGTCCTTTATTTCATAATCGATTTCTTTTTTATCACGTACACTAATAATCACGATACTGATCGTATTTTTCCCCGTAAATGACGTTTACGAATGATATGATTAGTAAAAAGAATTTGTAAAAATTACAAGTAATCGAATGAGATTGATGTAAGGAGATAAAACCAAAGAAATACATACGTGAAACGCTATGCGTGCAAATGCATGCTATTTCGATCGACATAACGCATATATACATACGAACCCTAAACATACTGCGCGCATCAAACATACATGTATAATATACATGTCCATAGAAACGAATATATGTGTACATATTCGTAAAGGTATAGTATATCAAAATCTATCGAACGTTCGTTTGAAATATTTCATTCATAAGTACAAAACCGTACAATGAGCGAAACCAGGAAGCCACGATACACACATATTTGTCTACGGTGTAATGTTCCTAAACTCGTATTTCATCATAACATGACGAATATATAAGTCTCAGAATTCGAAATCATTTTCTATTCAAAGAGTCAGGATCTCTCAGATAACGTGCTCGCGTTCGTTTGCTACTTTGTTACATCTTTTCTAGTAGACTTGTCTTTACCATACATAGCATCTAGAAACAATCCCGCAAATACTATAAACGTGCCCAGCCATTGCCTAAAGATCAAACTATTACCAAAGATAAGTATTGAACCTAAGACTGTAAAGAATTTTCTAGTTGTAGTTATAATGGAGCATGGCAATGGACCGAATTCCGCAACGGTAAGAAATATAAAATATTGTCCAAATGCTCCTGCTACAGAAAAGGTAGCAATGTGCCATATAATAAAAGGGTATCTATGTAGAAACTGAATAAATTCGACAAGTTCTCCAGAGGCTATGATGACAATGCCGCTAAAGATCGCAGACCAGCCATTCATATTCAACATCATATGACCAGACTTGGAATTGTGTTCAGCTCTCATTCTTTCCTGCACAGCGCTAGTTAGACCATCCATCGTTAATGAAAGTAATAACAGTAATTCTCCAAAGGCAGTTTGTCCCTCGGAATGCTTTTTCAATGGATTGACATCCTTGTACATAAACAAAGCTACACCAATGACTACTAAGAACACAAACAAGTACTTTCTAACTGGATATACCTGCAAGATAATGTATTTGATTGTTAGAAATCATGTATAAGATATATAAATATATGATTGTTAATTGTGAAAAACAAAGTATCACAAAAAACGACAAACAAAAAATCATACATATATATACAATAATACAAGTTCCACAAATCTTTTCCTGAAATAATAATACAAGGTAGACGATTATATATCTATGAACGATACATCAATAAAAAAAAGAAACAAAATACCTTGTTCCCCAGCAGTACACCGAGTATCATTACCGGAATTGGTTTACCGGCTTTTCCAATCACTTGTGTTGGATAACTAACAAATTGTAATGCCATATTACTGCATACCATAGCAAGCAAATAAGTGAGGGCAGAGAGTGCGTAATAAGTTTTCGGAGTAGTGTCCTCGCCCTGTTTCATGATCGTTAATAAACTAGTCTTAGCAAATAAATAATTAATTAGACACTGGAAGAAAACTAAAGTAAACATATACGTAAATTTTTCACTGTTTTTTTCATCTCCATATTGTCCTCGTGTGATCTTCTCTTGCAACATGCCAAAATGAAAATAACATACAAAAATACCGATAGCGCAAAACAAGAGTTTGAAACGTTTTGAAGAAGCCATTATAGCTATATTAGTATAGCGTCGATATATTGGAATAACTAATTTTGCTATACTGTTACTCTTTCGGTCATTAGCCGATGTCACGATGAACAGAAAAATCTTCGAGACATTCTATACATACATAAATGACAGATAAATAATACGTGGCATTTAACGATAGGTTATGTTCCACGTAAATTACACATATGTAAGCAGAAGGGGAATGGCTATAAAAGTATGAGAGAGATGAGTGCGTACATGAGAACTGAGAGCAGCAACATAGAAATCGGGCGTTCGTTAGACAAAGATAGGGAATCCTCTTCTCAAAGCACCATCTTTTAGAATGGGCTATAAACCTAATAAGCTAGGTTAACTATAATGTGTGCATACCAAAAAAAAAAAAATAAATAAATATGTGCCTATCTACGCATTCGCACGTCAATATCGACGTATCGATATCAATTCATCTATGAACAACATTCTAAATCCATTTCTGTATACTAATCCACGATCATATAAACAAGTCTTGACACTCACTAGGGAAAACCGAAAATTGAATCGTGCCTAATTGTGAAAAATCAACATGAAAATTTAACAAAGACCACGATCTTTCAAGACAAACGGAGATGAGTAAAGTAATCTGTCATTGTCTGAGAGATTTAAAGAATTTCTCGCATGCGCGGAACGTAACTTTTTTGTCTTCCACATTAATTTTTTACAACTAATCACGACTCAATCTTCAGACGGTTTTCTCCAGGCTTCGGTATATAGAGACATCTATTTATACATAAGATCGTGTACTAAACTATTAAAGTTAAACAAAAACTGACTCAGGCCAGCTAGGGATTTTCTGCTGCTTATTGCAGTGTACCTATTTCACGACGACAGAAACTACGATTGCCACATCCTATCATGGACTTATACACACAGTATATATCTTTTATGTTTATTTCTTTACGTTTATTATAGTGGAAGTATTTCGTGAAAGATGATGACTTTTGGTCGCAATATTTGTCGAATCTCGAATTTATAGGTATTTGTGTTTTTTACAATCACAATTAACCAATTTATCGATTTTGCATGCATCAATACCCTAAAGTCATAAAATGAGAAGTTCGATAAGGACAACTTGGCAAAAGTCAACGGTGTTGTTTGTTTTCGCAAGCATAATTATTACATTATGTTCTATAGCGGCATGCTTCAAAACAGATAATTCAAATAAAGAATCTCTTCAATGTGGTGGTTGTAGCTTTAGCAGACAAACCATCATAAAAACACAATATAAGAAAGAAACAGAAGATTACTGTCCAGCAACCAATGATCTTCATATTTATGAAAAGACTACTGTCAATCGTATAGATCGTTTAAAAAACATGGCTAAGATAGAGGCGGGCACCTTCACGATTGGTACAAACGAACCTGTGTTTGTCGCAGATGGCGAAGGTCCGAAACAACAAATATATCTACATAGTTTTTATATAGACAAGATGGAAGTGAGTAATCGTGATTTTGCAAAATTTGTCAGCGTAACCAATTATCGGACAGAAGCTGAAAAATTTGGAGATTCGTTCGTATTTGAAGGTCTGTTAGATGAAAAAGTTCGAGCAAACGTAACGCTCGTTGTTGCTCGAGCTCCTTGGTGGTTACAAGTAAAAGATGCAAATTGGCAACAGCCAGAGGGTCCAACCTCTGATATTAAGAGTACGTTTATCTGTTTTTTCGATTGCTCGAAATTATAAGTTGGAGGTAAAAAGAAATAAAATTAAATAATCCAGATAGAATGGATCATCCCGTTGTTCATGTATCATGGAACGACGCTATTGCCTATTGCGAATGGTTAGGAAAAAGATTGCCGACCGAAGCCGAATGGGAAGTTGCTTGTCGGGGCGGACTGTCAGATAAGCTGTACCCATGGGGTAATAACTTGATTCCAAATGGTCGATACAGGTGAATAAAGTTGTATAAAGAATTATTTAAAATTAAAATAATCCATCAAATTAAAATAATCTGCAGAGCAAATACGTGGCAAGGTGATTTTCCAAGTAATAATACTAAAGAAGATAAATACGAAAGCACATCACCTGTTACAGAATTCCCGCCAAATAAGTATGGATTACGTAATATGATAGGAAATGTTTGGGAATGGACATTTGATTGGTGGACGACCGAAACCAGAACACGAGGCGGGCCTAATAATCCTGTATATATGAATTACTTACGCCTATCTTTTTTATTTGTTTTTTCTTTGTTTTTAAGTATAACCGGCAATTATTTTTATAACGTGAAACATATTTCCAGAGTGGCCCATCTCGTGGCACGGACAAAGTGAAAAAAGGCGGTTCTTATCTCTGTCACAAGAGCTATTGTTTTCGATATAGATGCGCTGCTCGGAGCCAAAATACTCCAGATACAACGGCTGGAAATCTTGGTTTTAGATGTGCATTATCAACTTAATTTTAATCGAAAAAAGAATTAATCGGTTTTTTTAATAAATGTTATTTAATCATCTCATATTATATCATGTTTTTTCTTTTTTAACTTAATATAATGTCGTTTAAAAACAGAAGGTAGCTTTTGTAAAAATGGCAAAAAATTATAATACACGTACTATATTTCCAATGCGTGTATAGATAAAATCATTGGAAGACAGTTTGACAAGGAAGATGTTCCCAGCCGTTTTCGTTATTGCGATTTGTGTACGGTCGTTAAAAGTATAGAAATTGTAAATATTTGCAATTTCTTTATTATATATTATGTCAGAGAAGAATTTCCTCTCTGGTTATAGCAAAAGTCAGTCAATTTGTTTATTCGTGTATCCATGATTTGCTTCCTTTTCTATAGAGAAACATGAAAGTTTCTAACCAGTAAAAGTTAAAATAATTGCTCACTCTTCCTGTTTTTCAGTTCTTTCCACAACGTTATAACATAACTCTATTTACTCCGGATCGTTTCGACTATCATCGGCATTCATCGGTTTGTTTCGGTTAAGTTCATTTAAAATTTCGGGCGTCGGCTTGTGATGGACGACGATTATTAAAACTGTGTTGCCTTGTGTTCACTTTTATAACTGAATCGATTGAAACTTTTAACAATTATAATAGTAAGTTATCATCGGAAGAAATTCATATGTATCGAAATAATATTGCAACGAGAAATTGATGATATCATGGAAAACAGTGAAACAAATATTTATAAACTAACCTTCCCTGTTACAGTGTAAAACACGGGGTGTAATTTCAAAACATCGTTTTAAGCATTTATTAGAAATTGTAAGGAAAAGAAACTATCGTATTCACTGTAAAATGAATTACGGAAAAAAATCTCCTAGCATGGGTACACCATCGGTATACTCGCACGTTACTACACGTAGCAGCGCAAATTTAAAATCTTCACGATCAATGCGTAGTGTTAAAACACGTTGGTATCAAAAACCAATTTTAACGCATTCGCATTTACTTAATATTCAAAGAGGCGCTGTGTTTACAGCTATATTTGCATTGGTAGGTATGTAATTCATTGACAATGTTCAAAATTTATATTCTATCATTCATGTAAATGGTGTTTTTCTTTTTTTAGTGTTTAGCCATTTTTACCATTTGTACGTCTATATTTGATCTTTATTGTCTTTACGAAGCTGCGCCAGGTTCAACCCATTATGGCTACTATGTAATATCCTATGAATTTGTTTATGTGGGCAATCGGCATGGTTAGTAAGATATAGGACATTGAAATTTGATTGTATATATAAGTTCGATAGAAAGGAAAAATATTTATTTATATATATCATTACAGCTTTTTTAAATTTTACCTTGATATTTCATTTCAGTACGTAACGCTCTTGTTGTTTTTGCTTTGTTCTCTATGCTTGGTGGAGTAGTAGTGTTTGCAACATCTGTGATGTTGATAACTGCTTTAAGAAAAGAATATGAAAAGAAGATGGTACCATGGCTCTACAGTTTTGCAGCTTTCACTGTTTTCAGATTTCTTGCTTTTATCTTCTTCAGTATAGTAAACGACATGATATTTGCTTATAATATTACAATGTGTATTTTGTGGATGACATTCATTTGTTTTTCCATTTACGGATGGTTAATAGTATATTCTTTATATGTGGAATTATGCGATCTTACAAGACTAGAAGATTTAGCTCACTTAAGAGTAAGTTTCTTTATTTAAACATCTGAGAAAGACTTTTTCATTCCTCTTTCCTGTTACTGTTGATTTGTTATCTTATTGTCATTTATCTAAATTATTTGTTTTTTTTCCGTATGATATCGCCGATTGACAATTTTTATTTTATTTTAGATTGGGACCATGCAATCATTGAATGCATCAACTACGCAGTCCATCGCTGGTTCTCGTCCAACAACACCACATAGCGCGGTATCAGCACTGCCTGTGAATTAAGGCAGGAAAATTTGAATGATCTCTACATTCCATCAAGTTGTGACAGTGTCATTATTTTCGTTTCATCAATATGAATAAACACCTTACATGGAAATGGAAAGGATACGAGACGAGGAAGCTGGATATATGTACACGTACATATATGGTGTTAAGATACTTGTTTAGCGCAAAGCGTAATATATATATATATATATATATATATAAGCGTATATATATACATTAATTCGTCCGATAACATTGGGATTCCGTCCAAAACTATAATAAAGCACGAGTTTTTAAGAGTAGAAACTCGCACGCTTGTATAAATATTAACTTAGTAACTATTTGTAACCATATTTAATTTTTGTTATAATTAACACTTTTTTGCTAATAAAATTTGGATAAACTTTTAAACCCAAATTCATTATTAATCTGTCGTTAGTATATGTTCAATTATTTATTATTATCCATTTATATCGTCAATAATTTATTATCCTTACATAAATCGTTATTTGAGCTTCACTTAAAGGATAAACTAGTTTTTAATCGATTTTATATGTGTATCATATCACAGTTGCTACAGTTTCATGTGTTAATTATATTATTTTTATTATATTACGTCAACAAATAGAGTAAAATGAACTAAAATACGTAGTTACACAAAGAAACGAAAAATTTTTCCCGAATTTTGATCGTCCTTCATTAAAAGTGCAATCGTGATTCCATTGTAATTAATCGTCAGCGGATGATCGAGCCAATGCAGTTTCAGTATACATACGTAACAACGTATGAAAAAGTGAATATGCAAAGTAAATAGTTCTTCCAAGAAGGTTTAAGAGAAATATACCGATTGCTGTGATTAGCTTCAGAAGTACCCCAAATGTAGCCGTCAATATATACATGGCAATTGCAAGGCACATTTTTTATAAAAGCCATTAATTACTACTACACATATATATGTGTGTGTATGTATATATATGTATATATATATACACATACATGTTATATGTGTTTGTAAAGAATAAAGGAAAAACGGGAAAACCAATATATATCGAATATAATTAAAAACGAGATTTCGATAATCAATTGTTAACGTAGTAATATATATATATACATTTCCTGTACAAATTATCAGGTGTATCATATTTAATATGTTTCTTATCAACATAAAATTTATTTTATTTTAGACTGTGTGTGCACGCGAACATGAACGCGCATGTTGTTTAAATTGGCGTGTACTTTAGCCTGTTACGTGCTATGTGCACTGCAGATTATTGACATTATGTATAGTGCTAAAATATAATGCCAGTTACCCAGATTCAATGTAAAGAATGTAGTCGTCATTTGCGTTTAATAATTTTGATACAGCAATATAATTGGGTAAAAAGAAAATGTTTCATACTAATACCAAAGAGAAAATTTCTCTGCTAATACGTGTAGTATATACATACATATGTGTATACTTATTTATGTAGGTGGAAGGAAATTTGTTATTTGATAACAATGTTTCATGAAACTTGCGTTACCAGTTCATTTATAATAGAACAAAAACGAACTTAAATGATGATTTGCGAAGATCTAAAACATAACCGTTATACGAAATTATAATTATACAAGTAAGTATGAATTCAAATATGTCGACGTGTGCATGTCTTGATCTTCATGTACTTCATATTTTACATCGATATTTTCCTAGCGAAACTTGAATCTTCCTTTCGAGATGGTAAAGCACCTGATGGTAAAGATGGTAACACAATGTCAAAATACTGTAGTTGATACATGTCAATCTGTTTGTTCTCGATTCTGATTTTTAGTAAATATTGATATTTAAAATATTTATTTAAGCTACTGTTGATATATGTACCCACCTGTGTCTTGATGCGTCAACATAGTGTAAACATATTTGTTAATATTATTGTCGTAGTTAATATTTGTATATCATTCTGATGTATCTTTCGATTAGTTTTTCCAGGAATCCTGTATTTTCTATAAATATATCATGTTAATACTAATTTTCCCAATTTTTTATCGGGGATAGGAAGTGGTGAGACAGAGAAAAGAGAAAGGGGAGGCGGGAGAGAAAAAAGATAAGTAAGTGGGGGAGAAGTAAGAAATATGATTGTATGCTCATATGCATGATTGATTCGGTATAACTCGTTTGTAAAAATGACGCGTGTTTTATTATGCATAGATATTTCACTGTCAAACCGTCTATCTTCGTTTAGCTTTTTTCTTACATAGTATTAAAGGTAGATATTAAATTGTGTCAAACAGCGAGACATACATACTTATAGTAGAATACAGACTGTTGGATGGACGTGAAATATGTAATATTAACAAGAATGGTCTAGAATTTTTCGGCATGACATTCGGAGCGACGACTCAGGAGAGATAGGTAACTGAAGAGGAGTTAATGATGCAAGAGAAAGAAAGTGGATAAAACAGGTGATTTAGGAAGAAAACATTTCAGAAGTAAATGGTGGAAATAATGGTAAGCAGGAACCAGTTGAGTGATTTAAAGTGAAAAAAACAAAAGTTCCATTTAAGTTCGGATATGTGTATGTACTTATGTATGGTTAAAGGTTGGATATACATTTGTGTGTGTGAGGGGAGGGGCGTGTGTCTGCGGTAGAACTGAAGCGCAATAGTGTTTGGAAATAAAGGAAGAATAAATGTGAAGTACGAGCTGGAGAATCCTATGCGCGAATTGTATATTTATCGAGTAACGTTAAACGCGATGCGTTTCAAACCGATTACGATTGACTAGTCGTCGCAAGAGGCAAGAGAATAAGTAAATCGAGTCAGTTATGATTTTTGATGGAGAGAAAATTGTTGTTTTTATTACAATTGGAAGTTTAAAGTATAGCAACATGTTTTATATATGTATAAAACATGTTTGAAATTGGACGGTGTTTGCCCCAACAAAAAATATATCCTATAGGAACATTCGTGGAAAAGGAAAAAGAAAAAGAAAAGGAGGGAAAAAGATTGAGAAATGGAAGGAATTATATTGTATTTCATCATTTCCTTACAAACTTCTCGAACGCGGTTCATACATATTAAGTTGGAGTTACTAAGTGGTGGTTTTATGATCATCTCGAATCGAATAAACGCGAATACGCGGCGATAGAACTATATAGTACTTTGGTCAGTTTTCCACTATGTTCTTCCTTCTTCTCTGCTTCCTTCTCTATTCTTCCGAGCTGTTCAGAAAATCAGCAAGGTAACCTCACTTTCGATCACAAACACGAGACCAAGATCATCTCGATGAACTTGATTCAAGAACGACACTTAATTCTGAACCAACTTCGAACTTCGAACGAAGTCATATTTATGTGTATCTGACGCGCATTACCGCGTGCATTACCGCGCGTTTATTTCCTCTCATCACACACGTAAAGCATATTTGTTACGCAAATTGAGGTATACAATTTCGAAAAAGAAGAGATAAAGTTAACCAACATATTCGCAATAGAGCATAACCGAGGATTAGTTTTACCACTTGATGAGTCCAGTATAATCTGTAAAGCAAACATTCAACAATGATATAATATACATCATCATTAGGATTCAGCAGGAAAAAAAAAGAGCGGGACTGATACATTTGGCTCACCTTTGCCACTTGATACGTGCTTTTGGAAGAGTGTCTAGCGGATCTTTTATCAGATACATACGAATTCCACGTATATATGTCCGAAAATATTGGTCCCAGTCAATATCGGTGATATCGCATGCAAAATTTTCACGGTCTTCCTCTGTCATCTTATTTAGTAACTCCTTAATATTATCATTCGAAAACTTCCATTCGTGGATAGAAAAGTAGTTAAGTACATCCATAAATTTGTGTATCTTTTTATAGATTTTTAACATCCTTTGAGAAAATATTTCAAGATATATATAAATATTAAGTTCATAATAGAGAGAAGAAGAGGAAGAATTAGTGTCATAGAATTGAAACAGAAGAGAATAAAAAATCATATGAAAAAAAAGTATAGAAAGAAAGAGAGGGAGGGGGAAGAGAGAGAAATTACCTCGGTTGTTTTCCCAAACAGAGCGTGACGGTGTCGATCAAGAGTGCCGGTAATAAATGTAACAAGTAAACATACATAAGATGAATTATCCTATGTTTGTTATTTCGGAAACTATAGTACCATATGGCTCTGCTAGTGGGAAACTCAAGCCCGTATTTTTCGGATAAAAGTTTCAATTGATCGTATGTTATAGGATTATCTTTTGAAACATAATTGTAAACGGGTATGTCATTTTCCCTTTCTTTGGTAGTTGCAGATCTGTGCATAAAAAATGTGCGTGAAAAATAAAATAAAAATAAGGCAAAGGTAAAGCATGCGTGAAAAGAAATAGAAATAAGAGAGAAAAGAAACAGGAAAAGATAAAAGTTAAGATTAAGGATCAAAAAGTGTTGAAAGAGTGGAGAAAGATACAAGTTTTGACCGGTGAATCTTACTTTCGACGATTCGCGACATCCCACGCGCAAGCTATTAAGGCATTTACTGTTAAATCTCCAGGAACAACATTGGCTTCTATGGATCCATCGCAATGAATCGATCGTAAGACCCCGGTACCAGCCCCAGCTGCAACACCTGTTGGTCCGTACAAGTTGTCGATCCATCCTCGCACCGGTTCTTGGTATGTTGATATCACTGAAAATTCCATCAAATGTCCAATCAAATTAATTTTTATGTACATTTGACCGACATATACCCCTGCCCCAACCCTCTTTCCTTTTTTGCTCTCACACTTTCTCGCTTTCTCTTTTATTTATCATCTTCCAATCTGTTTTTATATAGTACGTTGTTGTTTTTGCTTTGTTGCCGTTCTCAAATCAAATTTTTTCTCCTGTCCCGTTAATCTCATGAAACGGGAAATGAGTTGAAAGAGTCAACGAGAAAATGTTTGATATCGTTAGAATAGATAAGCTATAGAAATAAAATTAGGTAAAGCTATAGAGATTCCTAAGACTTCTACTAACCAATACCGGGACGAAATATTCCAACAGGCAAATCACCGGCCTGTTTCACAATGATACCTTCTGCTACTGCTTTTGTGTATGTGTACGTGTTCGGCCATGCACCTAATAATCTGCAGCAACATAATATAGTCGAGTTATTGGGACAAGAGTAAGCAGAATAGAAATAATTAGACGGAATGTAATTTTGATTGACTTAAATTCGAATTAATTTTGCTGGAAAAAAATTGCTTACCGTGGAGTTATTTCCTCGATCAATTTCTCATCCATATATTCAACGATAGTTGCCAACTTGTCTCCGTCAATCGGTGCTTCGTACACCTTTTCTTCGATATGAGTTCGCGTACAATTGGCATATGCTGTCGATACGTGGATGAACGCCTGAAAGTTCCGTTTATTATTACGGAACAGCTTACTATTAGCGAATTTAAGCAATTATAATTATAATTAGAATTATAAGATGCATTTAAGCAATTATAATTATAATTATAATTATAACATGCATTTAAGCAATTATAATTATAATTACTTAAATTCGTACAATATACGTAAAAGTATACATGTGCATGTACCTTTAAATATGAAATTTCCCTACAAAGATCCATTACATCTTTTGGACTACGAACATTAATGGGTACGGCAAGTTTCATCTTCTCGTCAAATCTGACCGTTGCCGCAACATGAAAGACGATTGAGACTTCTCTCGTAATCGTTTGCCTGTCCGCGGGAGATATCCCAAGACCTGGCTGACCGCAATCTCCGGCTATAGCAACGATTTGATGCCGAAATTTTGGTCGCTTCTCTTTTACTTTGTCAAAGAGCTAAACAAAAAGTAAATTAGTAATCGGATGTGATCAATTGTCATACTAGTTTTAACGTAGAGATTCATTTAGCGGTTGATTTGTAGAGGTTCGCTTCGGTAGCGAGAGGATAATATGGTAGAGGAGATGGAGTAAGTAGGGTAAGGCAGCAAGAAAAAAAAGAAGAGAGTTGCGAGATATCGGTGGTCGACCGAGTGACTCGAGAGCGGCATGTCGAGGGAAAGCGAGTTCGTGTTATGATCGATCCGTAGTGCCGGAAGCAAAAGTAGAGCTAGAGAAATTCGTAGGATCGGAATTTGTTTGCTCGAAAAGAAAAGAGAAAGAAAGAAGAAATTCGACAGAACTCGGAAAAGATTGAAAAGAAAGCTGGAGAAAAAATAAGAATTCTTACCGGATCGTCAAAGATTTCCTCGATACGTTGATGCATATCTTTCCCTTTCTTCGGACGTACCAACAAATAGATGAACGAGATCCCAGGACATTCTCGGAGAAGCTTCTCTATTAAAAGTTTGCCGACGAATCCAGTACCGCCAGTGATGAAGATGCTTTGCCCATTGTAGAACTGTTGAATCGGGCTGAGATTCGACTGTTCCAAAATCAAATCGCAACGATCACTTTGAACCAAATGTTCCGTCGGATTGTCGTTCAATTTGCAACCATTATCCAATACTCTCGCTTCTTGGCCACATGGTTCCACCAGAACTTCCACCATCGCGTTGTTCGTGTTCGCTGCGTTTGCTGCGTGACGTTTCCAAGTTAATAGTACAGCAACAACTGAAGAAAACGAAGCAAATAAAGGAGCAAATAAAGTACGGTATACCGCATCAACTACATGCCAATCTGAAATGAATACCGTTCCTCTTTCACACAACTGTTCGTACTTTTGCGATAGTTAGTCAGAGAGAAACTGCGTACATCACCGCGTCATAGAGTGAAAGTTGATCGTGAACTTGGTCGCGGCGTCTTTTACTATGTTCCAAATTCAAATCGAAAGGCTACTATCGACAGTCTGTGCTCGTTGTTCGACTATGAAAGATGCTTTGCTATATATTATATTTACCCTGCTGTTCTACATGTCAGGGAGGAATAGCCAAAAATTTCGTTACAACGACATTTATTTTGTTTGCTTTTTCACTCGATTTTTCGAATCGCTAACGAGTTGGCTTCCAGGATGGATTTCAAAAGAGCCGAAATGGTGATAAAACTTATGAAATTGTCAATATGTTAATATGTTAGCAAATTACCACGCAGAAAGCATAATAGTACGGAAGAACGCGACTACATAGATTCGATATTTGCATAACGGCGGCAAAGTCCTTTTCCTTGTACTTCGAATCTCAGACACACAACCCCCCCGCCCCCCTACCATTTCTACATTTTACGTCTAACCTAACCCCACTCCTAGCTTATCTTTAGCCGGCCAAGTCCATCTTACAGGTTGAACGGCGGAAGTCTTCTTTTCGCGAACTACCAAAATTTTGTGTTTGCAAAGATCGCGGCGATCTTCAAATTTCACAAATTTCTCCCGTTCGAATACAGAAAGTGCTACACCCGATGTTTTGCAAATTGTCAACATTATTCGAACGTTGTGTCCAATGTATTACGTAAGTACTAGCGGCACGGATGCTGCGAGAGTAACCTTTATAAAACAGCAGAATCTTCCGTTAAATACACTGTTCGATACGAAGAATTCAAAAAACCACGATTCTTCGTCGCTGTAAAAAGGCGAACTAGTCTGCGTTATTGTGGATTCACCGAATTCTTATACGATATTTTCATATGATTAATCGTTACGTCGGACTGTCACAACAACTATGCTACTTGTATAATTTTTTATGCGATATATACATTTGAACGAACGAACAGACACGAGTGCTATGCTCGACACGAATTTTAACTGGTGACGAACTCACGGTGAATGTCTGACGAAGAAAGTTGTGGACTGACATAGATCGAAGCCGATTCATTAATTCAAGAAAATTATTTGCTATATTAATACATCGTACACATCTTACACATATCGTGCACACGCGAGTTTCACCCTTTCGCTGTACCCTATTCGCGACTCACCTCTACCTTAACTTCTGTCTCTCTCTTTTAATATTCGAATGGAAATTTACATTAGAAATATATGAAAGTTTGTTCAACGACCGTGTAAAATAAAAATTATATTAATTATATGCATATACACTAATGAAGAATGATTAAAAAGAAAGGAAAAGCCGATTGCAATTTCTACTCGACACACGCGTTTATCGCTACCGCCTATCTGAATGGAATGTAATGATGAATTCGACGAATCTCGTTCGAAAATTCCGTCAACGATACAAATCAAACAATACGAAACATTTTTCAATGAATCAACGATCTGAATAATGTAAATTAATTCTACATTTGTAGTTTACATCATATCGGATTATTCAGATAACTTTTGCACAATTTCACTGACCTTATCTGATGTTCCGTGAGAGAGTAACGTCCACGCAACACTTTTAAGGTATGAAAGAAATCATTAGCCATCAAACGAATATCGTTAATCGAGCAAGGAATAGCCACAAGCGAAGAAAAGAACGAACGAATGTACGAACGAGCGGAAGAACAAACAAACACTAGATATACCTTGGAAACTTTCTCCTAGTCCGAATCTACCGATCCTTCTCCTCTTATGCCACCTCAAGCCTTTTGCAAGCGATACACCTCAGAATTGTCACTCGTGCCGTCGTCAGTCTTACTTTTCCTTTCTTCTCCTTCTACTCTGCTTCGTTCAGTGCCCCTCCTCTTTACCCTTTGGCTCTCTTTCCCCTTCCTTGATCGCTCAATCATACTCGACCCCCCATCAACCACCTCATTTCTATCACATTATTTCGTCCCTCATTTTTCTTAGTTTTCCTTTGCTTCTTTTCTCCTATTAAGTTATTTCTTCGATCTGTGATTTTCTGATTGATTGTCCTATACTCTCGTCATATGTGCTCTATAATTTAACGAGTTTAATAAAATTCTATTTATGAAATCGGAGGTAAGTAATTTGTCGGTTATTTTAAATAGCTAAAATCGAAATTGGATAGAACGAGAACTTCAAGCGACGCGAGCAACCTATGTTTCTTGTTAAAAGATCGACGATAGGAAAAGAGAAAGGCGAGAAAGCAAGAAGATAGATAGATAGAAGAAGAGAATTTCGGTCGTTTCAAGTATTTAAAGCATCTGAAGAAGTATCGGAATCGCGTATCTTGACTTGTTTTAAAATAATTTGGCCGATAATCGAACGGACGTTCGCAAAACTAGACGTTTCGATTACGACACATTCGTCAGCAAACAATCTTTGCAAGTATGGCAAAATTCGTCTGTTCGAATTCTGTGCTTGAACAAATAATATCCCGTTTAAACGTATACTACCGTTATAAGGTCATGAATCTGCTTTTGAATATATTCGTATACCATTGGCATATTTTTAAACGTATCATGCTCTATTTATGTATATGACTATTTCACGTGAAATAGATGGCGAGAAGCAAACACGTCACAATTTCTTTACGCTTATTGATTTATTGTAATTGTCAGCATGTTTTCTCACATACGACGTATGCTATGGCAACCGGATTTATATGTACGTTTCTGGGAAAAATTAATAACCTCCTATTAGAAGTACTGTTTTTAATGCTAATAGTTAATAATTAATAATTTATGATTATACAACCTTTATCTGCATATATACGTATGCATATTTATAATCTATTTCTATTTCTGTACAAAAATATATAAGAACGGAAGTACAATTAAAATGTATACATATAAGTATAGAAAAGGCGTGAGTTATATAAAAACGATTTGCTTATAACGAACCGCGGAAAGATAAAATTCGTTGTTGCTTGCAGCGAATTGTAGTAGAAGCACGAATCTTTGCGTTACTGTAAGTTTTAAGCGAACTTTGTTTCGCAATAAATAAACAAATTAACAATGATGTAAACATTTTTTCAAGTATATAATTTATCATGCTAATTCGAATATACTTATGAAAAAACGCCACTTTTTCTAACATTTATGAGATTGATTTACTAAAATCGCGTATCTTTCCACGCAAGGATGTATGTATAATGCATATAGTTTAAACGTCACATGAACATCAGAAGTAACTTGTTTGCAGCTAGATACGTCAGTGATTAGCACATTTATTATTAATTCTAGGATTTGTATCGATAAAAAGTTGTAGATCATGTAACGTTACCAATGCATGTTGTATTTATATTGAATTCTAATAAATGTCATGAGTTCGTGCAGCACCTTTTTCTTCTCTCCTTTTCTTATAGCAACGTTTACATCAATCATATATAATAACGGAATATTTTAAATATTAATTACTAAAATGTATATAATCTTTTTCAGAATTATATTATTATATGGACGGAATATTGCTTGGGTTTTAATATTAAAATGATTTTTCATAGAAGACATTCGCAAGGTCACTTAAAACAAGGCACACAAACGTCCATTATGTAAGATTATTCCTATAGGTTTAAAATTTCAGATACGTAGGTACTTACTTTGTGGTTAATGAGTGTGTATGTGCGTGAATGCGCACATCGGATGGAGGGAAAGAAGTATGAGTAAGTAAGCGAGCAAGTGAGAGAGATGGAATCCGAAGGAGATGGTACGCGTGGGTGTAAATGCACGCTCGTGTATGTCTTTAAAGAAATAACAGCAGAGATGGAACAACATAAAAGAGAATGAAAGAGGAATGTGTTTGTGTATGTAATGTACACGGAACAAACAAAACGTCAGCTCGAAGTCGATATTTGCTGAGTATGGATAATCGTAAGAATGTGCTTCGTAAAAAAAAAAAGAAAAAAAAGATAAGGAAAAAAGAATGAGTTTAATTTTGTCAATGACAAGGGACAAAACATTTAAGAAATTCGTCTCCAAGACTTCGTATTAAGCAGCAAGAAATGATTTTCATTGTCTTCGTTGGAAATGTTGATCAAATCGTTGATATTGTCACGCTAATATGTAACGTGATGATCGTAGGTAGTAGTCTTCGATGGTATTTGTCGATCGTTTCACAAATGGTATACTTTCGTTTAAAGCATAAGAATATTCAGAATACCAATCACGATGAAAAATATTTTCCAATTGCTGCCTAAGATTTTCCGAAGTCTGATCGCCGATAGTCTCGAATACCGTACCTATACCTAACAAACCAATCGTTAATCACAAATGTATAAAAAGAAAGAAAAAAAGAAAGGAGGAAAAGTAAGAGAAGCAATTGCCTGCTGTATTTATAAAATAATCGCCAGACCAGTTGCTTGTTCCTATATACGCTGTTACATCGGTCACCATATATTTATTGTGATTTACCCTTGAAAACGGTATTCTGTCGAAATCAGGATTCGTAGGAACTATAAATTTTCTCTAGAAAAACATGTTATCGTAAACGCGATGTCATGTATGAAAATATAATGAAACTATACAGGACGCAAGCATGCTTCTTTAAGTCTTTACTGACCACTTCAATTTTCACACCCGCATAACTATCTGTTAGTTCCATGAGCGATTTCAAAAAGAAAACCTCTGATTTCTTCATATGCTTCCACGACGATATCAATAGTCGTATGTGTACTTTACGTTCGATAGCTGCCGTTCTCAGTGCATCGTCTATTATCGGCCAATATCTAAATCATACGAATTATACAAAGTTAAATGTAGAATGAGCAATCCGAACGGGACTATAGAAACACGTAGTAAATATACGCATGCGTGTGAATATAGATAGATTAATGAACGTATTAAGAACACCTAAGTAGATTAATCGATATGTACTTGATTTTAGCTGTATATATAGTCAGTGGAAAATAATCCATCACTGAGATATAAATAAATTTCTCAGCTTTTTCGATACAATAAAGAATAGCATCCACGTCATTCGTCCTACCCTTTGGCGAAAATGGCGGAGGTGAACTCTGAAATATACGATATTATAATACAAATTCTGCTATTTCTTCCTCTCAGCTGGACTTGATATTTTAGATTCGCACAAAACCTGTTTCATATTAAATTTGTATACGCTGGAATGATGGCCTCAAAAAAATATCACACTTACCGCAACAAATGTTTTATACTTATTGTTCATAAATGTAAAGTTCATCGGATTCTTTAAATTAATTCTCGTGTTAAGATACTCCGGCCAAACAGAAGGTATTTTACCATCGTTGCCTATTGTCCAATAAACCTACCAAATATATCAAAAAATAGCTTTAGCTTTTAGTTAGCTATTACGTAGTGTCCGTATATGGATTACCAGAAACAATCGACTCACGTCGAATATCTTGGCAAAATCGTTTGCCAAACAACTGCAATTTAAAGCCATTAAACCAAGTTCCTTCACCTGCGAGAGCGACCGCCAATCCATATTCGCAGAACCAATATACAAATGCGTTCTGTCAACGAGCCATAATTTCGAATGAAGTACTCCTCCTCCGAGCAATCCAGCAAAATTTAAACTTTTGACCTACTCACAGTAAATATGACACACTTTCTTCCCTGCGGAATCGTTCAAATTATTGAATTACTTTAAAACAGCATTAAATTACCTTAGCGTTTGCCTTTTTCGTCAACACTTCCGTATCGATGTTCGGGCTTATTTGCGACGGTATATTTTGCGTTATCTTCAGTAAAATATTCCGATCTCTGCCCGCTTGGAGAAGCAAATGGAAAACTTCTTCACCCTGAAACAATCGTTTCGAACTTTCCTGGAACACATAAATTCAGTTACTTACATACCTGTTTAGCACTATCGTCTGGATAAACATCTTCCCTCCTCATAGTCCAATAAAACGATGCTATTTCTATCTTCTCCCGCGCCAATGAAATCAATTTTATCCAAGAGTCGTAAGTGTTGTCAAGAAAAACGGTGTTATTCGTGTAATTCATGCCGATTGGCAGAGTTTCCACGAAAGATAAATTACAGCCATTCATGCAACTCTTATCGAAATCGAAATTCGTGCCATTCGACGCGTATTTATCCGCTGCATGATCTAATAACGGCAATAAAACAACCAGCACTATCAAAATTAATATGACTGTAATTGGAATGCAGCTTGGTCTGCACCATCCTTGTGCACCTCCCCATCTGTTTCGGTAACATAATATTAACACGACTGATTAATTATCTTATTTTTGAAGGATAGTCGATCGTATTTCGTTTTTCTGGCCAAAAGAAACACTAACTTCCCATTCGTAATTGGATCGTCAGTATCATTTCTCAACATAAAACCGGAATAATCCCACAATTCGAAATCATCGTCAGGAGCGGTGGTATTACCGTTAGCTGCGCTGGTACCAGATCCACCGCCAGAACCACTATTTCTACCACCACTGCCGACATACTTTGATGGGTTCAATTCCAATCTGGCATTCTCAGAAACTGTCTGTGACAAGTAAGGTAAATTTTTGTTTGATGGATAGGACAAAGTCATTCGAAATGGGATAAAAAGAAGGAATCCTTACGTAATTGTACATACGGATAATTTGTGCTTAACGAGAGGCGTTCTGCTCTTACGATGTGGCAATAAAACGACTACATCCTGATCCTTGCCTTGTTCTTTCATGTACTTCGTATAAGACTTAACCGTGGAAGTAGTGGCTTTACTCGTGGAAGAAGCTGTATGACGTATCGAATCTTCGTCATTGCCGGAACATTTCGAATATGCGATATTCCTTACATTATTGTTTCCACCGTACGAAACGTTGTGCGTGTTGTTCACCTTTCGGATCGAATTTCATACGATCAGTAAAATTACTCGCGCACTCGTATCGCAACTCGTATATGTAAAAGTAAAAATGTAAAATCATGGAAATCTTTTCACCTCTTTCCCGTTCTTTCATATTGATTTCAACTTAAAGACTGATTGCTAAAGAAATTAAAAATTTAAAAGAAGCGGAGAAAGAGAAATGCGTACAATTTAAATGGATATAAGACAGAAATAAAAGTAGAAGTAAATAAACCGCATTTATTCGAGTGTGCGAAACTCGTGAAAGTGACTTAATTCTAGTAAACTTACTTGTACTAATATGTGACAAGCTTGAGATGCAATTTGAAAAAGACCATCTTGTAAATTGCGTCCACCATGTTCGGTATTTTCAGAACGATTGCTCCCTTTCCAAGCGAAAAAAGACATCCTGATGCATTTACTATAATTTAAACAGGGTATTTTTGTAAGAGGATCACTTAGGAAACTATGGAACACCATGCACGTAAAATATAATTAAAACCCTTTGCGGAATGTAAATGAAAAAAAAACACAATAATACGAGTAGTTTAATAACGAAATCCTTTTAAGCATAACTTTAATTATGACAATAATATATTTTGTTGCAATTTAAACAATTCCTTTTCAAAATTATTATTCTCCAAGCGATCAAAATGTGACTGGTCGTAGCGTAGCCAAAGATCTATGCACTATTTCGTAACTTTCTTTGTTAAAAGCGCTGAACCGCTACATATTTTCTTCTGGATCAAAATGAACAAAGAAATAAAAAAGGATGCGGAGAATAAAATATAGGGAGTAAGTGGGAGGTTCGGGATTGAGGAAAAATTGGCGAACGTGCGTGTGCATCTACGTGTATTACGTAAAAACAGTTGAATGGAAATGTATCAAGTTCAAGTTGGATAAAAACATACCCTGACGAAAGAAATCTTCGGTAACATTTACACACGTGCGCCGTTCTAAACGTTGCGTCCGTCGACCTACCACCGACGTATTTTACGAAACGAACAATGTCGATCGAAAAGTTGCGTTTGCTTCGCGACGGACTTGCGCTCAAGAGCTTTCTGTGACCTACATATTTCGTCTTCAAAACTTTCAAAACGGTACTTTTCCATATTATTTATGATTATTTCTTTATCTCCGTTAAATTCGTTACAATCTGATTTGGACGACCGATAAATCGCACATACATATGTACGCGTGTGTACATATATGTTATGTTGTGTCTTTATAGGCGGATATAGAACAATATCGGTATCAAGGGAGGTTCAGAAATGCTATAGATAAAAGAAAACAAAAATGCGCATGCATATGTATCGACTATCCTTGATGCATTTTATGAATGCATGGTATCATACAAAATATCATTGTTTAAGAAGAAATTCATTTCGTAGAACGTACTGTAGATGTATCAATATGACTCTTAATTACTTAATCCTTTCGAGCGTCTTTTGAGTTCAGGTCGAGACCAATTAATTAATGCATCTGTTAATATCAAGTATATTTGAAAATGCATTTAATATCGTTTGTACGTTTTGTGGCAAATTCTAAATTTTAATTTGTTTTCGGAATTATTATTAATTATAAAAGATTTCCTTGAAGTTACATAAGATATAAATTATATTTTCTGTTCATCAAAAACAATATATGTATAACGATTAAAGTATTCACAAAACCATTGTAAGTGGAATATATCGAACAAAGGCCGTTTTAGCGTACATTTCTAAATGACGAAATATAAATTTTAATTCCTTTTCTTTCTTTAAAGCCATAAACTTCTTATCTTTTATTAAGATGTTTAAGAAAGAGCAGACACACATCTCTTGGAAATGTTGAAAAAATTATTTTATTAGAAACAATCAAAAAATGCTATAGCGTTATCATTCTAGGGTTGAAATTGAAAATATACAAGTATGTACATATGTATGTATATGTAAATATGTAATTAATATAGTAGTATAAGCGGTTAGGTTTTCACGCACTCTAGGGTTCATCGTAAACCTCACCAATTTTTGGAATTGGAAATAATATGTATGTATATAAGTTACGCTTGTGTGGGTATCGACATATCACTCACACCTGTTGTTGCTTTTTCGTTCACTTCAATTTCCGAAACAATTTTCTTAATAAGATATCGGACTACGATATTAAACATCAGAGAAAAAAGCTAACAAACGTACTATTTTACTTTTCATAAAAATAGCTACATAGTCACAAACTCCGTTTCCCTCTGAAATTCGTTGGAACGATTGTTATTTACACAAGATTTTTGTGACTCAAATTAACCGAATGTTTTTCATCACTTATGACAGACTTATTTATCAAGCACATATGACCAATGTTAAACGGAATAGACTATATCGACTATAGTTTGCCCAACGGGACGATGCAGTAGCATAAACAAAACGTGATTGCTGTGACTGCAACTATTGGCTGCAACTATTGGCTGCAGTTATTGGCTGCCTACTAGTGACAATATTGTCACTACGATTTGTTTCGCTTATTTGTTATACACCAAATAATTGTTTTCCCTATAATTCCATATAGTACTTGTAGAACCGATAAAAGTTAATTGTTTCGTCCGCAATCGTATAAACAAGTCTTGACACTCATATACTACAAGACAATGTAGATGTATGCGTTGCGCGTGCGCAAAACGTGGCTTTGTTGATCTGTTATGTTGATTTTTCACGACTAGATTGGGGTTCATTCAATTTTCGAACGGCTTTCCCTAGCGAATGCCAAGACCTGTTCTTATTTTAGGTCGATACAGGTGCCTCCACAAAAGTCCCTAGGTTACTAGACTGTGATACGACTTGACAAACCCACAGACGACTGTCCATGTACAAACCATAATCATACATATAAACAGAACAAGAAAAGGTTCTGTTCAGACATTCATTGTATGTATATGTATATGTGTGTCGCACGTGCACAGACCCAGGCCGTTCTTGTATTCTCATGTTGTTTCTTTATGGTTCAATTTTTGAATACCTTTCTTTTTTATGCTTTTAGTATAAACGTGTCCAAACTTGTTTATATAACTTATATATGTATCCTGTATCAAAAGTATTGGCAAAACCACAATGTACAATAATATAAAGATTTTCGGACGTTCCTCGGGTGATTTGTGATTATTTCCTGGTAGTTCTCTGGCAGCCGGTAGATTGTGTCAAAATTTTGCTAATAATACTACCACTAAATCTATATTACTACAATCTCATTAACGCGCACATAAATATGGTACGTTGCTGGAAAGAAAACTAGCGAAACAGCACAGGAGCAAGGGAAATACTGCTTGATATCGTTCATCGTCACACGTTGCTATATTGTTTCGTTTAATATGTGATACTCTCGACCAATATGCATGCTTATCTCTATGACTGTATTGTGTCTATATGAAATAATCAATCAGACCTGCCTTTCTTACGCTAGTCTTCTTTTCAGTAACCACAGATATGCCTTTCTACCAAACTGACAACGATGTCTCTAAACTGTAGCGTCGGTCAGTGGAACTATCCAATAATCATCACAAAACACCGATGGGCATCACAAAACACCGATGGGAGATTTGTGATTATTTCCTGGTAGTTCTCTGGCAGCCGGTAGATTGTGTCAAAATTTTGCTAATAATACTACCACTAAATCTATATTACTACAATCTCATTAACGCGCACATAAATATGGTACGTTGCTGGAAAGAAAACTAGCGAAACAGCACAGGAGCAAGGGAAATACTGCTTGATATCGTTCATCGTCACACGTTGCTATATTGTTTCGTTTAATATGTGATACTCTCGACCAATATGCATGCTTATCTCTATGACTGTATTGTGTCTATATGAAATAATCAATCAGACCTGCCTTTCTTACGCTAGTCTTCTTTTCAGTAACCACAGATATGCCTTTCTACCAAACTGACAACGATGTCTCTAAACTGTAGCGTCGGTCAGTGGAACTATCCAATAATCATCACAAAACACCGATGGGAGATAGATAGATAGATAGATAGATAGATAGAAAAAGAGAGAGAGAGAGAGAGAAGCGCTTATTTTGAGTCGGAAAATATCAAAATGGAGATTAATGGAGAAAAATATCAAAATATGACACGGATGACGAAGAACGTAGGACGGATCCTTTTCTTACTCTCCAACTTGATCTTTTTTTGCTCAAAAGATGATTGATTTTCCCTAGCGAGTTTCCGGCCTGCTTACATAATCGTAATACAAGTACGATCGTATTCTCTATCTAATACATATCATAAGCATAAATGTGCGTTAGAAATTTTTAGATTTCTATCTAGCATTGAAAAGCATAGTTTTATGTTTTATTTGTTCGTACGGATTTTCATCGATTGTAATTACTGTTTCAGTAACAGAGAACATTTACTATAATATAGAGTTAGTGATTGAACAATCGATGTTCTTCATTCGCTTCATCTCCCTAATTTATTCCAAGAAGAAAGATTATGATGAAAGACTCAACAAATAATATACCGTTTCGTAACAATTATTAACATGAGAAAGAAATGGAGATGAAAACAAAGAGGAACAAGGCAAGGGGAAAAAAAAGAAAAAGGAAAGGACAAAGACTACGGTTCAAGAAAGCACTAAAATTTTAGTAACATACCATACACCGATTTTGATTCATAGGCGAGCAGTCTATATATTCAGTGATGCATGCTGGGATGCTGGGGTTCTGCTGGTTCTACAGTGTAGTATCCTAGTGTTGTACTGTACCGTAGAAATAGTTGCAACAGCGCGGCGTTCTGCTCGCTGTTCATAGGCTACCGCCATTGTTTCTAGAAGTGAGCAAATTAACAAACAGACTTTTAAAATTTTAGGGTCGAACATAGTAGTGAATACTGAATTCCATTGCCAATACAAACTATTTGAAGATTAAGAATAATAAAAAGTAGCATATTCCATGTGTTACATTTTCATTTAGTTTCTCGTGTAATCGTATGAAACCAAAAAATTTCAGTGAAAAAATTTCGGAAAAGAGTTCGTGTGATGCATTTACAGGAAGAAAAATCAGTGTTTAATGTAGTTGTTTTCATTGGTGATGCTTTTGTATCAAAGTGGTACCTACGATGATAGTGCTAGTGCTAGTAAAAAGAGTGGTGTGTTGTTCTTCCATGGTAAAATTGACGAAAAACATTCCGTTAATAAAGGACCTGATCGTGTATAACGCGTCTCTTTGATGCAGATTAATTGAATTAATTATTGCGGAAGAAACAGCTAACATTAACAATCAGGAAAAATCGAGTTCCGCGTCCTACAGTAATCCCTCGTCTTCATTTTGCTCTTCTAAAAATAGTTTACATGCTGACAGAGTTCTGTAATTGTAAATTATTTAACAATATTATACTATCTTCCGCTCGAAATATTCTGAAATTTGAACGAATTGCTTCATGTTCAACAAGATCACTTTATACTTAAATATTGAATTTCGATCATGGAATATCATTAGGTGATTTTTTTTAAAACTGTTAGTTCTGTCTTCTTCGAATCAGCTTTGCATTTGCGATGCCAGAGATACAAAAAAGGTTAGTGTTCCTTATGACAACCCCAATTCCCAGTGACAATGAATCATGATGATCATCAGATAATCAGTCAATGAATTATGTATTTCCGTGTGTATTCGATGAGAACGGGTTTCATCTCTCACATCGTGAAATGAATGTCGCGAGTAATGATTAAACTCATGTTGATCGGTGTGAATCGATGTTATAAACGAACAAGTTATGCAATTTGAAGATTCATATCGAAACTAAGTATAGAAAGAAAAGTAGAAATTAGAAGAAATATAAAATACGCTTGTTAATTTCGAGAGACAACAAATATAGGATATGTAATAAACAGGAGAAAAATTGGACGTTTAAGGGTTGTTGCGATGCGCAGATCCGCGCCTATCCGCGCATCCCTCGAATGATAGGGTACGAAGAGGTGCACGCTAGGTTCGCGGTAAAGGGAGAAAACACGTTGAACGAAACCGATCGGGACACGTGTACTTTGCTAAATAATGCATCTTCCTCGGGGGTTTCCTTCGTAGACGCTTTTCGCAATTCCGTCAAACTCTGTACATACGTCCTTTCGTTACCGTCGTACCTCCGTAATCGTAATGAATATTTTCTTCTGTATATTCCATCATTATGGTTTCTCGCATTTTAGAAAACGGACGATACGCTCGAATTGGTACGTGATACAAAGAGCTAATTTTACGAAAATGATAAGAATAGTAGATGGCAATAACTTGAAATCGATATTCACTATCAACACTCTATGGTATTCTAATCTCAGACAAGCATTTAATAACAGACAATGAAATTTCGAATTGAAGTTCTATTTAGAATAGCTTAGAATTTAGATAATGGCATGAGAGAGAAAGAAAAATCGGAAATGATTCGACTATTTTGTGCGACAGCAATAGTTAATTGATAACATAAAGGATTGATAAGAATAGTTTAGATGTAAAAAATCAATTACATCTAATTATTTTTTATATTTCAGGATGCGAGAATTTTCCTTTTCATATGAGGAAAGACATCTTCACTGCTCAGCAACAATGTTAATACTGCTGATGTTATCCCTGGGTGATGTACACATTGTAAATGGTGAATATACATATGTACTCATATAATATACATATGTCATGCAATTGTTAAGTCATATAGCGGGCCGAATGCACGTAAAGTGCATGTAAAATGCACTTTACTGATTCTATTTCGTGTATAATGTATGTGACCCATTGGAGGAATGTAGAGTGATTTCCATCTTTTCCTTTTTCATCGACATTGAAAACATATATGTATTTCTTTTCATTAAGGTAACGTGTAATAATGTTGGAATACTCAGCATTAAATGGTAAATTGTAGAAATCTATAATCAAACTTGTCATTGTAAGATGACGATAATTAAGAACAAGTAAGAAACAAAAACGGATAAACTATTTATCTAGTAATATTATAAAATTGTCACAGGTTCTTGCGAGTTTCCAGTTGCATGGACTGGAGAATGGTATCAATATGGGAAAATCGCACCCATTATCCTAAATACAACGGTTATAGGCGAAAGGACATGCATAGAGCGATCCGAGGACTCGTACATCGTGTAGTAAGTATTTGAAGATGGTTCTTTCCAGAATGCATAACAAAAGAACAACGACTAACCTAGAGCTTGAAGACATACTAATCCTTGCAATGACATTTCAGTGGTGACAAATGCTATTATTGTATAATTATTAACGATCGGCATGAGAATGTGATTCAATTTCGTGAAGGTTAGTCAAAGAATTTTATCTTTGTTTCGTTGCTTTCTCGCAACTTTTGTGTTTTCAAATACGTAAAACTCGTTTTGTTTCTCTTGCCAGGATGGTGCTATACGGAACAAACCACTT